ACCATCACCTTTTGGGACACTCACTGTCTCTCCATCCATCTCTCTCCCTTGTCTGCAAGCCCGGCTGTTTATAGAAATAATGATGATGGTGATAATAATAACCACGGCAATAATAGCTCACCCACAGCGCTAAGCTCATGCCAAGAACTGAGCGGAAGAGGTATCCGCTATTTCATCCTCCCACAACCCCATCGGGCAGATGCTGCTGGCCAAGGTCACATGGACAGGAAGTGGATGAGCCAAAGGTGAGCGCCAGGCTGTCGAACACCTCCTCCTCCGCCACCTGCCCCCTCCAAGCCCGCCTCCCCCGGGTCCTGGCCGCCTGTCCTTCCCTGCGTCCAGCTCTTTTCCTCGCTCCGGGTCTGAGGATCGTGGCCTCTTGGAACCGTCCTTCAGTCTGTCTTGTTGTTCCTACCATCTGTCTGCCTATTTACCGTCTCGGAGCTTGGGGTGCACCCACCCACTTCATGGGGTCCTGCATCTGTCTAAGTGTCAATCATACCACCTCTGTGTATGCCAGGGGGAGGGAGTACAGGTCATCCGTGTTTCTGTCCATGCCTCCCTCTCTGCCCCCACCCCCATCCCCTTTCTCCACCTGCTCCCACCCTGACTGCGGGCACCCACCTACCTGCCCTGGGCGGAGCCCTTGCCCACCTTGCAGCCCTTGCTGTTCATGGAGTCCAGCGTCCTCTTCAGAGCCGGGGTCGGCGGCTCCAGCAGCTCCACCTGGGTCCTCACTCCCTGATCCGTGTACGGTCCCACCAGGTAGTAGTTGTCGCCCCACTCATCTCCTGTCACCTTCGCCTTCGTCTGCAGCACCGTGTAGATGCCGCCCACTGTGGGCCCAAACCCATGAGGACAGGCCCCAGCTGAGGTCCACAGGCCTGAGCCCTGGGCCAGGGTAGGTGGGTGAGGGGGTGGGGTCACGGGAGGCGCTGGGGCCCCCGACTTCTGGCTTAGAGGGAACAGGGGACCGGGAACCCATCCATCAGAGGCAGAGGGAGGAGGATGTGGGTCGAAAGGAGAAGGGGGCTGGGGTTGGAGCTCTGGGGGAGGAGGGGGCTCGGACTAGGCTTCTGAGTGTGAGCGGAGGGGCTGGGGGCCTGAGCTCCTGGGTCTGAAGGAATGAGGGGCTGTGGCCCCATGGATGACAGAAGCTGACGGGGATTAGCAGGATCCAGTTCCCCGGGTCTCAGCTCACAGGGGCTGGGTGTAAATTCTCCACCAGGCTCTAGGCACGGCAGGGTCCTATTCAGATTCCCACAATTGCCCAAGGAAAGTTGGAATAATCATTCCTTGCCCCCAGGGACTCTGCTGACCTATCCCCCAGTCTCCTCTCCCCAACGGAGGCCACTGGCAGGGGGGACCCTGCCCCTCCCGGGACTCCACTCCAGACCCAGGAGCCTGGGCCCCCAGCGTCCTCACCTCCTGACACATGGCTCTGTGTTCACAGGCCCCTCCCATGGGGTTAGGACCCAGTCCCTTTCTCTCCCAAGTCAGCTCTGCGCAAAAAAAAAAAAAAAAAAAAAAAAAAAAAAATCCCACCGCCCTCTCTTCGGTGGAGCAAGACTGCCCAACTCTTGGGCTTCCAGCCCCACCTGGCTCTCCACACCCGGGATCTCAGGCCCTCTGAAGCCCCGGACGCAGAAATCTAGGGCCCCAGCCACTCCCATCCCAGGGCCCAGCCCCTGACCAACTTAGGACTTCCCAGCCTTCCCTCATTCCAGTCTCCAGCTCTCTGTGGCCACAGGCTCCTCTACTTCCAGGAACCCATAGTTCAGGCCTTCAGTTCATTCAGAGCCTAGGCATTAAGGTGCCCAACCCCCTCCCACCCTAGGATTAGGGCCTCCGGTCCTTTCCCAGACTTACTCCCGAGTGACCAGTCCACCCATTCTCCCAGCACGACTTATGCATTCTATTTCCCAGTCAGCACTCTCCCAAATCCAGGTCTGAAACTCAGCCATTTCTAAGAATTTCCAATTCCCATCTCCTTCCCTGTTCAAGACCCCGGGTCTCTCAGAACCTCCCTCCGGGGGCCTAGGAATCTCTCAGGTTCGCCCCTCTCCCCTAGGACCCAGGACCGGACTCCCAGCCTCTTTTTATCTTCGCACTCAGGAGACCCATCTCCATCCCTCGAGGGCGCAAGAGACAGATCCCAGACCCTCCCCAAGGACACATGAGTCATAGGCTCCTTGCCCAGAACCCAAAAGTCATGGATGGTGTGGAGTCCCCGGCCCCCCACCCCCGACTGCTCTTCTCGCCCGGGCCCCGCCGCCTGGCGCGCTCACCTTTGTTGGCCACCTCCCAGGCCACTTCGAAGAGCACCGTGTTCTCCAGGTCGAATTCATCCTCCCAATCTTCCAGTCCCGGCAGCGAGGACACGGACAAAGTGCGGCTGAGAGGCATGGCGGACGCGGGCAGGGAGTTCTAGGGGCCACAGGTGGAAGATCCGGGGGTGTCTGTGGAATGCACCCGACAGGACGTGGAGCCAGGTAGCTGGTGCCCGAAGGGAAGCTTGCAACGCCCTCGGCTTCCTATTGCACGACCGCACCCCCGGACCTGAGCAGGAGGCGGCCGCAGCAGCACGTTACTGGGCTCCCTCGTGATAGTGAGGTTCCGGGGAGATCGGGTTCCCCGGGAGGCCCTTCCTTCTGTCTAGACACCCAGGGACCCTAGAACTAACCTGGCAGGGAGAGCAGGCTGGACCCGAGGACAGAGCTGGGGCATCACAGCGCAAGGGCGGCCGGGAAATTGGTCGTGAGCGCTGTCAATCCGAAGCTTGAGGCCTAGAGTGCGGGGGGGCGGGAGGGGCGGGAAGTGGGTGGAATTAGGAGGAAAGGGAGCGTGGGGGACGTGTGGTTGCTCACAGAAGTGGCAAGAATTTTGCAATCGGCCTCGGCAAGGAGGCTTGGGTAAAAAGAGGAGGGGCCAGGAGGAGCTGGGAACTGGCCCAGGAGTTTCGGCCTAAAAAGTGGCGGCTCGCCCTACAAGGAGAGTTTGCATGTTTAGGAGGAACCACCGAGATCTGTGGAGGACCTGACAGCCTAGAGGGGCCCGAACGCCTCGTTCTTAGCACGTTTCCGTTTCCGTTAGGGTCTTAGCGGTTGGGGAGCATCATGGCAACCGTGGTGAGTGTCGGCATGCGGAGGACAGAGGCGCGAGCCCGCTTTACTGGGTCCAAGGGAGGAGGGGCCGGGGGTCTGGACTCCT